GGCTTTGCCTTGACTACTCTTTGGAGAAGTAAGCCTTATATTACATGCTGACGTTAATCATGTTGGTAACCACCACAACAACACAGCAGTAACCGTATGAATGGTGCTCCAAAGCCTCAAATCATTACGTCGGGTAGGGATAGGATTCAATGCCTTGCAGTGTGATACTTGCTCAAATACTCACTTCTCCCCGACAAAAAATTAAGTCGTCTACAGACAATTTGTTGCCTCTACGCTCATATCACGATTGCCACGACCAGATTAGACTTTACTGTTTACACGGTTTAACCATCAGAAGGTTAAATCCACCCTGTCTCACGGCCGTCTCAACCCAGCTCACGTTCCCTATTAATGGGTGAACAATCTAACGTTTGGCGAATTCTGCTTCACAGTGACAGGAGGAGCCGACATCGAAGGATCAAAAATCGACGTCGCTACGAACGCTTGGCCGCCACAAGCCAAGTGTCCCTGCAGTAACTTCTCTGACACCTCTATCTTGATTCCTGTGTGGTCTAAGACCTTAACCATCAGTCACGTAGACACAACAATAGCGGTGATACAATAATGCTATCTAAGACGAGGGATCGCAATCTATGGCTGACTGGTCCTCGTCTATCTCTTGCACCCCAACCGTAGTCTCTTTCTTCAGGTTCAAATTTCAGATATTGTTTAACCAATGATTAGGTGGAGGTGAGGACTTCGAATCTCAGGTCAGAAACATCATCCAAGTACATGAAGTTCATGGATGAGCGCAAGGTGTATATTCATATATTAAGGGGGAGGCGGGCGGGGCAGAAGACTGGTTATTGCGAATTGTATTTCATTAGACATAACAGACTGGACATGCATTAAGCACAAATACAAACCATGTAAAAACTACAACATCACATTATACTGTATCACATTCACTGTATCAAATTATACTACTCGTGATATGTGAGTAGCCATATTTTTCTGTCATTTTGTTACGATTTGACTATGGTGTCTTCCCGGAACATGTAATTGACGTAATTTTTAAATTTTTCTTCGTATACATTTATCCCTATCATCTTGTTACCAACAGGGAGTTCAAAGCCGTTCGCTTATCTTTCCCTCAATAAACTGATACTGAGACCAACAGGGCCGTAAGCTTTAGCGAATACTAATACTTCTACTGCTGCTATTACTACCACTAATATTACGACTAATACAACTAGTACCGCACCCAATGCTTTTAAAGCAGGGATTATTACTGTTCCTAGACCTCGGTTACCATCTGTATGAACAGTGTAAATCTGCTTGTCTCGTTTTCCAGGTGCTGACTGAGCGTGGCGAGTTCGAAAAGAGTGACGCGGAGTTCACTCGGGTGATTGAACTAGCTCCTACCTCGGGCATGGCCTACGCCCATCGTGGCCTTCTCCAACTGCGATGGCGCCAGGATCAAAACAGTGCCATTGAGTGGTTCCGCAAGGGTGTAGAAGTGAGTCATCCACCTCCTCAATTTTCTGTCTTAGCGCACGCCACTTCCCGCTTTCCTGACTTTCACCGTAAAATTAACTGTCCCCACCCCTTCAGGTTGATCCAAAATGCGAACTGGCCCTGGAGCTGTTGGGTCAGCTCTCGATGGAGCGGGGTCAGTTCGAGGAGGCGCTGAACTACTTCAACCAGGCCATCCAACAGGCGAAGACCCTGACTGACCTGACCCACCTCATCTCCCTGCGGGAGGGTGTAAAGGCGCAAATGCATGTCTGCTCCACCTACAACATCTCCGTCCACGAGATGTTTGCCAGCCTGCAGCAGGAATTCCAGCAGCAA